TGGCAGGGGGGTCAGACTAGATGATCTTTAAAGGTCCCTTCCAAGCAAACCATTCTATGATTCTATGATACATAGCTTGCAGACTGGTTTATCAAAACAGCAAATGATCCCTCTGCACACTGATCAGAAAAGCTGAGTCAGCAAGCAGCTAACTAAAGGAGGTCTAACTCCTGCATAGTTCTTGTAAAGCATCTCTATCATGGTTACAAAAAAAAAATGTTTTAGTCTCTGGAAAAAAACTTACCAAAAAAAAAAAGTGGTGTTATTTGTAAGGAAAATGATCCGATCTTTTCTGTTCGTGGCTGATGGTACCAAACTGGGAGGTGCTGTTGACTGTCTTGAGGGACAAAAGGCCTTGCAGAGGGATCTGATAGATTGGAGCATTGGACAATCATCAGTGGCATCAAATTTAACAAGACTAAATGCTGGATTCTGCACCTGGGACAGGGCAATGCCAGGCACAAGTATGAACTGGGAGCAGAGTGGTGGGAGAGAAGCCCTGCAGAAAGGATCTGGGGGTGCTGGTTGGCAACAGGCTCAACATGAGTCAGCAGTGTGCCCTGGCAGCCAAGAGGGGAAACCCCATCCTGGGGTGCATCAATCACGGCATGACCAGCAGGTCAAAAGAAGCAATTGCCCCGCTCCATTCAGTGTTGGTGTTGCCTCACCCTGAGTACTGTGCACAGTTCTGGGCCCCACAATTTAAGAGGCACATGAAGGTCCTTGAAGGTGTCCGGAGGAGGGCAACAAAGTTGGTGAAAGGCTGGAAGGCATGTCCTGTGAGGAGTGGCTAAGGACTCTGGGTTTGTCTAGTTTGTAGAAAAGGAGGCTGAGGGGCGGCCTCATTGCTCTCCGCAGCTTCCTGAGGAGGGGAATGGGAGAGGGGGGTGCTGACCTCTTCTCCCTGGGATCCAGTGATGGGATGTGTGGGAATGTTTCAAAGCTGCACGAGGGGAGGTTCAGACTGGACATTAGGAAGCATTTCTTTATCAAGAGGGAGGTTGAACGCTGGAACAGGCTTCCTGGAGAGATGGTCGATGCCCCAAGCCTGTTGGTGTTTTAAGAGGCATTTGGGCAACACCCTTAGCAACACGTATGAACTTTTGGTCAGCCCGGAATTGTTTTGGGTCCCTTCCAACTGAAATAGTCTATTCTATTCTATTCTAAGAAACTTCTTTCCCCGCACACATAAATGTAGCCTAGCAGTTGACACTGTCACGCTCTACCGTCATGCACGTTTCTTGTAAAATACGGACTGAAAGCTTCACTCGTTCTCTTCTGTAAGCACAGCCGTGCTCAGCCACTGTCGGTAGGTAAACGGGCTGGCCTGGAGACGGGAAATCCCACT